TATATATATAGTATTGGTAATTATTTCGGCCCCTATATTATACGTTGGGGTTTAGGGCCTGGGGTATAGGGGCCTGAATAATCACAAGAGGGTTTTGGGATTGAGGGTTCAGGGTGTAGGGTATACCGGACACAAGAGACCCCTTCAACAGCAAGATTTGCCAATACCCCTAAACCCTAGACCCTAAACCCTAAACCTTTGCTTCCTGGAACTCCATGCTGGGTTCCCTTGCGACTTTAGGCTTCTTCTGTTTGTACCAGAACATTCCCCAAAACCCTGGCAAATGAACTCTAGAGGCCACCTGTCTTATCAGTAGTATGTGTTTAATATTGTTAGTTCAGAGGTCCTGCGGCCGGCCATGCTATGTATCAAACAACATTTGTCTTGGGTGTCACAAGTTTTCACGTCTCTCGGAAAGTAAAGCCCCAAGCCCCGAAACCCCGAACTCTGAGCTACGGCTGATGCGTTAAAGGGTGAAGGCCAAATGTCTTCATCGCAATGCCAGCAAGCATTCGACAACCTCCTAAGCCTCTAGAACCACAAGCTCAGCCTCTAACCCAAAGGGTCCTATGCACTGTTATGGGGGATACTTCCCTAAATCATAAAATCTAACTCCTACTGTAGAAACCCTACATGCTGCTACATTAGATACTTTGGACCCTTTGGGTAAACTCAAAATCAGGACCCTAAACCCTCGCTAAACCTTGAAGGCTACACAGACAACGCCTCTTCTGCCACACAGGGGGGGGATCTTAGTAAGTCTCCTCACTCCCTCATATACTGGTAGCCTTTGCAGCAAGCTTCTTGTGGTGTCGGGCTTAGCCTGGGGTTTACTAGGCTTGTCGACGTCCATGCCAATGATGCCGGCACACGCAAGCTAAACAAGGGAGCATGAAGCCTTTCACCCACTGCTAGCCCGACGAAGTTCTGCTGGGGCCAGTGCGAGACTAGGGTTTGCATGGTGTAGCTTATGCACGAGCACAATAAGCACAGCATGATCTTTCCAACAAATATCATCACAGAACAGAAATAATAGCGCAGTGCGCAGCAGCGGCCGATGACAGTTCGTGAAAGTTAGTAGTGTTTGCAGCGTCAGCAATACTAATGGTATAATAAGAGTACTTGCCATTGTCCTGGCCGGTGCAAGTGAACCACAAAACAGCGGCTTTTGCTCGAAGACTAATTATACTATGCTTCATAGTAGTACGAACTGCTGTTTGTACCTACCACTCAGTAATGGGGCACTTGGACCCTTAGGGAGCCCGTTGTGGCTGCGCATGAACGACAAATCCATTGGCATATTGCCTCAGTTGCAGTGGATTCAGCGCCTAGAAGCCCGTGCCGGTTTGTGGCATAGCTTCCTAAGGAGCATGGGACTTACTAAGCACAGCTATTGTAAGTAAGGCAACTATAAATAGAAGTATCTACAACCCCGGCCTCAAGTACTAGATACTTAGCTTCAGGGTTTGTATTCGGTTTCGGGGCATTTGATTTGCTCCCGCCGCAAGGTAATTTCAATGTCTGCGATGACTGCTACAATGCCCACTACGCATCCATCATTAGCCTCATCAAGACCACCCGCAACGAGGACCGCTGCACCCTAAACCCTCAACCGCGCCAAAGCTGCATGCTCAACCCTCAGAGTCAGCCAAGAGGCGACTTTGGACATCAGACCTCAATCCTAGACCCTAAACCCCCGACCCTACACCGAAACCCTGAACTCTAAACCCTAAACCCTGCAAGCCCTAAACCCTGAATCTCTGAGTAGGGTGAAGGGTGTGGTGGAGTTCAGGCCGAAAGCACCAAAACCCTCATCCCCAAGCACTTGCGAAATGCAGGTGCCTGCAGATGAGTATAAATTTCTCTGCATTCATAGTCTTTACAGAATTATGCCGTGAAAAACCCCGAAGTCTTGTTCTACTTATACTTACCAAGACCCCAACTTAAAGTGCCCCGCAAAAACTAATAGCAAACCCGATAGGAGCGGACAGTCAGAAAGGTTTGCCGCGCTTGAGGTACTCAAAGCCGCACTTGTAAGAAAGTGGGCAGATGATGCAGCGGAGAAATTCGAGTTCGTCCTGTACAGGCGTGTGACTTCGGATGTAGGACGCTATGACAAATGCCTGCCAGGAAGTCTCCCTATCAATCTTAGTAGAGGTCGCCATGGCCCTTGAATGTCGTTGGGAACAGGATTCTGGATCAAAGCACAGGCTTATTGTTTCTAAGCACACCCCAGCACCTGGAGTTCTTGAAAACCAGTCCGCGAAACAATTGGCACAGCGCCAGGAAAGGTGCTGGCAGTTGCTGAGCGCGGTGCCCTTGCACATGCGTGCCTCCAGGATGCACGTCAGACAGCGCTTGCAGTTTTTTGGATCGCGAAGATGCCAAAAACCCTTGGGTTAGCCTTTCTGATTTTCCTGGTGCGGGGTGAGCGTACTTCACAGGCACAGGCGGAGGCAGAACGGGATGTGGTTTCCAAACCACGAACTACAAGAATGACCAGGGGATTTTGTAAGTAGGGCTAGAGGTTGAGTAGATGTAATGTAGGGGCCTACTACTTACCTATACTATTTTGGGGTTCCGTACAATAATATAGTATTAGAAAATATCGCGACACCCTATTCTAATTATCAAGGCCCATATATATATATATATATATATTTATTAGATGTAACTATTTTTAGCCATCTGGTTCGTAACCGCTTGCTAAGTTCTCTGGTCATACCCTAAACCCTGAGCCCCCAAACCCTAAAACCCCGGTTTTGTGTTTGCAATGCTTACTTTGTAGGAGTTGCAAGGAACACACCAGTCTTCTTCTGGGGCATCCCCCCCACATGGCAGCCCCCGAGCAGACCTGAGGACACGCCGGAGTACCACGCAGCAAGAAATCGGGTCGCACGGCGCGCCAAGCAGGAGGCACCACCTGGGCCCTGAGCCCTGGACCTGATCCCCTTTTAAGATTTAGGGTTTAGGGTTTAGGGTGTCCCGATCCCCAAAACCTGAACCGATTTGTGTTGCTTTCTGCCGGGCAACAGATCGTTCGTTTCTGCCCGGAGTCCTGTGAGGGCGGCTTATTCCCAATCCCTCAGACCTGCGACAACGTAGTCCGCAAGTCTGCAGCCTTAATGTATCAACCTGAAGTCAGAAACCCTGGCCTTGGGACCCACCCTATTTAAAGACCCATGGTTTGTAAATCAGGTTCCTATATTAAAAGCACGATAGCACCAAGACATAAAACACTAAACTTTGAACCCAAGTATTCGACGTCTGCTGAGCAGCAGTTTTTTGAATCCCTATTCAACTCTATAGCACCCAGTTGTGTGTCTTGGGACTTACTTCCATAGTGGTAGTGCATATGAACCCTCCGGATATGACAACTGCATCAAAAGCCCTCGGGCATAGATCATGTTCAGCTACTGTAGGGGCTTTGATGATTCCCTATACTATTTTGGGGATGCCTCAAACTATATTTACAGAATAATAGTCCCAAAAACCCTATTCGAATTATCAAGGCCACTACGTTATACGAAACTTGTTGAAGTCTGCGCCAGCAACCCTACTACATTGTAAACCTGCGACCCCAAACCGGACCCCTTAAGATGAAGCTCCTGATCCCAACCGTATTGGTTGAAATGCGAAGGTCCTAATTCCTAAATCCGGAGCCCCAAACCCATGATTCCTTAGACCCCCCTTGCATCAAAAACCGTAGTAACAATCCAAAAGCCGACTCTCTTCAGGAGGCTCGGCAGCAGGAGGCCCACGACATCCACCTGACCTACGCCCAGGACGGCCTGCATGTGGACCCGACCCTTTGGTTCATGGATTGGAGGCACCAGGTGCATGTAGCTGTCAGGATCTTCATGATAACCGTACGCACTAAGCACCCTGATCATTGAAGTTCTAGCTCCGAATGCAGGCAGTGCAGACTCCCTCGGCAGATTGCGATAGCCTGCTTTCCACGGGTCCTTCTCGTGAGCTCTTTCTGCATGCTTTTTTGTGCCGTCATACATTGCAAAGGCAGAACGCACTTGCAGAACCGTAAACCGGCGAAGCCCCTGAAGTTTTTGAAGCCTAATGCCTAATTTATCTTGGAGTTCAAAGACCCAGGCCAGCAACCCTAAACCCTGAACTGCTAGGAAATCCCATCCGGTGGCTTCCTAAAACTCCCAAGACCTAAACCCGAAATCCCATAAACCCTAAACCCTAAACCCTAAGCCCTAAACCCAAGCCCTTAGCCCTCAATGATGAACTCTGAACCCTGAGCCGAAACCCGAAACCGTATAAACTCTATATTATGGGAGTTTCCGAATATAAGGGGTACCTTATGTGGGGTCCTTACAATAGAGATCCTACTATTTGGGATACTATATTAGGGTCCTGTATTTTCGGAAGCCCCTATATCATCCAGGAGCAGGCGGCTCTTGCAGCCTTCGGTACGGAGGCAGGAAAAGGGTTCAGGGGTTTAGGGTTTAGGGTTTAGGGTTTAGGAAAAGGGTTCTGGTGAAAATGGCTGAATGGTTTGAAGATTTTCGAAACAATGAGCCTAGTCTCAGGCCCTACATACTTCCACGGGCAGCTTCGAGGCTTCTGATATTGGAATCTCAAAACTATGAACCCGATATCCGAGTCCCTTTCAGTGCTCCTAAGCCTTAGACCTTGCGTCTAAGCCTTTCCGACATCCGAGTCCTCTACCTGAAAACGCCAAGCCTAAATCCCCAAATCCAAGCCCCAAACCCTAAAACCTATAAGCCCTAGACCCAAAACCCTAAACCCTAAACCCTAAACCCTAGACCCAAAACCCTATAAACCCTAAACCCTAAACCCTAAACCCTAAACCCTATAAACCCTAAACCCTATAACCCTAAACCCTGAACCCTGAACCCCTAAAGTCGACCCCCGTGACGCGCGACAAAACGAGCCAAACCACCCTTAGCCTGGACCCTGCCCTAAAAGAGGCCGTCACAGAAGCCTGAAAGTTGCTTATAATGGGGTTTAAGGTGTAGGGTTTAGGGTTTAAGGTCTAGGGTTTAGGGTTTAGGCATTGTAGTTGCCTTTTAGAGCTGGCTGAACTTATATAGCCAACCCTAACCCTAAGGGTCCATGTACTCATATAGCATAAACTATACTATATGAGTACATGGACCCTTAGGGTAATGTTATCCCTGGCAAAACAAAGGTCCTACCCCAAGGCTCCTGGACCGTTGTGGTGAGAGCCCCCATGGCCGAAACCTTCCCCCCAGAAAGCCCAAGACCCTTTTAGAAGCCTTCGGGTAATGAACAAGGCTGGTCCGTCCAAGATGCGGGGGAGAATCCAGGGCTGCTCCCCGACGTAAAGTTGGGTGTTTCAGCGTGGATTTAGTTCAGCCTTCAAGATTTAGGGGTTTTGGGTGTAAAACTAGGGAGCGTCAGAATTCAGGCTTTAAGATCTACGTAGGGTTTCGGCTTTGGGTTTTGGGATGGGGCTCGGGGTTGGGGGGAGGTTACACCCTAAATCCCTAAGCGTTGTAGGTTTGAGGGATTATCCTGAACCCTAACCCTTAACCCAAAATCCTAGACTCTGTATACTGTAGGCGGTTTATGACTGAGGGTTGGGAAGGTCTCGTCGTTAATTGTGCTAGTGTTACACTCTAAACTGTAAGTAAGCCCTGAACCGCATTGAGTCTCAACACGTCGAGAAGTATGTTCCCCTAGCAGCAGTTTCAGCTCTGCAGCAATATAATCAGGCGCTGAGGGTTTATTTAAAGAGTTCTATAAGAGATCTTTTTGAGGGACCTAGAGGGCGTTGATGGCAGCATTCCAAGCACAACAACCGCCGCAGGAAAAGTCGGTCGCGTCGAGGTGGCGTAAGTTATGTGTTTGTTTGAGATGCCCACTGAAGCATGACGAACTATGAACATACTACTCTCTAATCATCCCCTGTTCCCAAACCCCAGAACCCTAAGCCTATCTGACAGATGCCGGCGTGTTTGTGAGTTTATTCGTCATGCCATCATGGAGTATCTGCGTTGTTTGTTTGGTGCGAGCTGAGAGAGTGTTGTTGGTTAAGTTCCCACCCTCGGGCTTTAGGGTCAGGAATTGCGGGAAGATCGATTCCTGAAGTAGACGATAGATGGTCCATCTTTGCTCCCGGGTCTTACGAACATGATCCTGATCTGAATGGTTTACGGGTTTACAGATTTTCACAGCGAACAAGACCAGCAGTCTTCATGTTTTGTAAGGGAAGGGGAGATTGTGAATCGAACCCACTGCGTTAAGGTGTTGCCACCTGCGACAAAGCTCTGGAACAGTGGCCATACGCACAAGTGGCTTTCTGGACCCGGAGGGCTGTGCGATTTCCCTCCCTAAACCCTAAACCCCATAAATCTATAAAGCGTGAACCCTATACCCTAAATGACTTGCATGGTTCCAACCATCTACTTTGGACCCTCCAGTGTAGGCTCCAAGGTAAACCCTAAACGCTAAATCCTAAACCCTATAAACCCTAAATCCTAAACCCGCTATAAACCCTAAATCCTAAACCCTAAATCCTACACCCTATCAACCCTAAACCCTAAACCCTAAACCTTATAAATCCTAAACCCTAAACCCTAAATCCTAAACCCTATAAATCCTAAACCCTAATCCCTAAACCCCAGATGATCCTGCACCCTGAAAGCCCTTAGACCCCATAAACCATGTACCCAAATAGTATATACTTTTGGCTCCAAAGTACCTATGCAGGGACTACCTTGAGGCCGAAGTATACGATATATGTGAATACATGGGCCCTGTAACCCCAAGGTATTATTAGGATCCTTATCAAGACCCTAAACCTAAACCCTAAACCCTAAACCCCTATATAAACCTAAACCCTAAACCCCAAGAAGACCCAAGGTTTCTTAGTCAGTCTTCTATATTCGGCCCGAAACCCTAAACCCTCATACATAATACCGTCTTAGCCTAATAGTTCCCTTCTCTATTCCTTTAAAGCCTTTCATCGTAAAGCCGCGGAGCCTGAAGCCGCAGACGCTTGAGCGCCTAATCCACGACCCCTGAACTCAACAATTTCAAAATCCCGAAACCAGAAGTTTAGGGTTTAGAAATTAGAGTTTAAGGTTTAGGGATTAGGGTTTAGGGTTTAGGGCCTAACCCGGCCAGAAGGTCCCCACAATTCCTGAACCCTCAACCCGAAGATTCGACGAGAGAGCCCTTAATCCCCAAAGCCCCTACACCCTAAACCCAGCTGCCAAGCCCCGATGAGGCTTCAGCCCGTGCAGACTTTCGACTTCGACGAAGTTGTAAGTAGGGACCCTTAGGAGGGTAGGGGTGAGGGGGGACTTCCTTGACCAGGCCTTGTTAGGCCTTATTACTGGTATTTGGCCCCCTACCCACCTACTTCCCTAAGGGTCCTATGATGGAGTCTCCCGGCAGGACGCTGCTCGCAGCTTACGGAGAGCACATGGCCACGGCCCGCCGGCTGAAGACTCCAGTTACACATACAGTAAGTTCCTGGCCTGTGGGTGTCATCAGGTTTTTCTAGGGATTAAATGCGAGTTGAAAGTGTTTTGGTTTTGAGTTCACGGTTGTGGGTGTACGGATTTAGGGTTCTACACGAGTCTTCGTTTAAGTGGGCTGAGAGGTTGAGGGTTTAAGGTGTGAGGTCGACACGGGGGTTTTAACGTAATCAAGGAGAGTCTTCCTATCCCTGGTCTCCCTAAACCCTAAACCCTTTCCCTGGTATCAAGGTGGCCTGGGATTTTCAACTGGAAGGTGGCCAAATCGACGCTCCCTGCGAGGGGTTGACTACTGTCCGTTCTTTTCGACAGAGCAGCGGCTCTTCGGATCTAGACGCACGGTCGGGTGGGTCGTACTGGCAGCAAAGGGCGGCTTTGGCTTGTCAACGTTCACCCTCGCAAGCCTCCTGTCGAGCAGCGTATCCTGGAGGAATCCGCGGCGGTGGAGTATGTGAGCGTTCTCAGTGCTTTGGGGCTCACTTCAGCCGACTCTATTGTTCCCATACCCAGGTTTCACGAGGCGGCTGCTGTGTAAGCGGCTTGCCAAAAAAATAAGGCTCTTAGGCTTGGTGCGGAGGATGTCGAGAATACGGAGACTCTGCATCCCGAATCATCCCCATACCCTAAACTTTAAGTCCTCAGACCCCTATAAATCCTAAGAATAAACTCCTTACCCCAAAGCCCTTGAGGTAGTAGCATCCGTGGCATCCTCATGCGCGTGTGCTTGTCAGGTTCAAGGGCCACTTGAGCTTCTCAAGCTGCCATCCTGCAACACCCGGTACCCTTTACGTAACCCTAAATCTGAAACCCTAGCTAAATCCCCAGCCCTGGATCCTAAACCCTAACACCCTAAAGTCTATAGATCCCTTAAGCGGAACCTCAATCCTCAGCCCAGAACCTCCATCCTTGCGAAGACTCCAACTCCCTTAAGGGAAGGTTATACTTTGCCCTAAGACTCCAGGTGCCCCTGTAGCATATACTTTGGCCTGAAAGGGGCTCCTACTGTATATAGGTACTTTAAGGTCTGAGTGTATACTATTTAGGTACATGGAGCCTTAGAGTTAAATCATACGAAGGATTGGCCCTGAGTATGTGGGGATACAAGTGCCTGTATGCTGCCTAGGAATAGGTAGAGCCTAGTTATAGTTGCCTTACCTCTTGCCCCATTTGCTGAGTCCCCTAAAGGATCCAACCCAAAACTCCCAAACCCCCAAACCCCTGAACCCTGAACCCTGAACCCCTAGATCCTGAACCCCACAACTTCGCACGTCTCAGGCCCTGACGCGGGCAATACAGCTGGGGCAGCTGAAGGCAGCAGGGTTTTTGGTGACTGAAAGTATTTGTTGTCAATAATAGCCCTTTTCATCCCTGTATTCATTTTCATGTTAACCCTAAACCCCCAACCCCAAACCCTTTTCGAACTACTATGATCCCTATGGAGTGAATCAAGGTCCTATAGACTCTTCGTCCAGGCCCCAAAATTGTTAACACACTGGCCTTAATCGTTAAACACGGCGTTGGGGGGGGTGGGGGGAAGATTATCGTAAAAAGGAGCCTCCAACAAAATGTTGGAAGTTATTCAGGCTTCTATATTAAGCCCTACCTCTGTTAACCCTGCATAGGAGCCGAAATTGGAGCACTTGTTTTCGGAACCCTAAACCCCAAACTCCAAACCCTGAACCCGAAACCCCCAAACCCTACACCCATCAACGGCTTGATTCCCTAAAGTCTTGCCCCTTAATATAAGCCCTCCTCTCGGATTTCACTCTCTTGGTCGGCTCGGTTTAGGGTTTAGGGGGCTGGCCGGCAGGCACTGAGACGGGAATGAGTAGAGACTGATGCCCTAAACCCTAAACCCGTAACCCTAAACCCGTAACCCTAAACCCGTAACCCTAAACCCTAAACCCTGAACCGTGAACCTCAAACCCTAAACCCTATGCGGGGTCGAAGAGACAGGCTAGGCGGATCTTTTCATGTAATTCTGGCGGACCCTAAATCCCAAAAGCTTGGATCCGTATGTGTCACATGCTAAGCCAGGAGGCAGCATACCCACAAAAAATCCGAAAACTCTGCATAAAGCCGCTGCAGCCAAACAGTACCTGCACAAACCTTCAAGATCATTGCTAGCCTCACTACTTAGCAACGGTTGAGGGTTTATGGAGCAGTGTACCCTAAACCCTAAACCCTAAACCCTAAACCCTAAACCCTAAACCCTTGTAGACCCTAAACCCTTGTAGACCCATGGCTCAGAAACCCCTCCCTTCAACACAGATTCTCAATACAGATCCTCTCATGAGGGCCCTTGAAAGTCAAAACTCCCGCGGTCATCTTTGTCTTGACTGGTGTGCCTGAGTCTCCTAGTTAGTAGCCATGAGTTCACAACTCTCACAAGCATGAGCTCACTGCGACTATCCAAAGAACACCCACACCCTCTTGTCTGACGGCAGAAGTATCATGAAGTCCACTGACTTTCTTGGGTGTGAACTCTACCCAAGCCGCTAACTGTAACTTGGGTGCAATGTTATAGAGCCTCGAAGCCTGAAAGATAAGTCAGGGACTGAAGTAAAATCCTAAACCCTAAACTCTGAACCCGAAAACCTCAACCGACGCGAAGCTTTGAAAGGGAACGCTGGGAGAGTCTGTGCTTCTGCGACAGGCGCCATACTTGGTCGCTGGTCTCTCCACGCTCATCGGTGCTGCTATCCTTCAGCACCTTCCTCTTAATAAGTAAACTCTAAACCCCTAAACCCTAAACCCCTAAACCCTAAACCCTGAACCCCATACCCTAAACCCTGAACCGTAAACCCTAAACCCCGAACCCCAAAACCCTGAACCCTATACCCTGAACCTATACCGTACGGATTTGTGGTTTAGTGAGGGTTTTTATGACCCCCTGACCGGTCCAAGCTCGTTGGTTTGGGCAGTTTACAACCCAAACCCAAGACCCTCGACTCTAGGGTTTAGGTATTAGGTATTAGGGTTTTAGGGTTTGGGGTTTTAGGGTTAGGGTTCAGGTTTTAGGGTTGGTTAGGGTTTAGGTTTAGGGTTAGGGTAAACCGCAGAGCCAAGACCTTGAACCGTAGGAATTTGGGCATTGAGGGTGTGGGGTCCCGAGGGTGGGGACGGATGGGCCCAACATCTCTAGAGTGAGCAATAGTCCTCAAGATATACTAGGCAACCCTATTTTAATTCAAAAACCTAAACCCTATCTAAATCTAATTCAAAACCCTAAACCCTAAATCCTTAAAGAACCAAGGGATTGTGTCATCTCTGGGCTACTTCACTTGACCTGAGCTTCATGACCCAGCTACGGCAATTGATGTTGGATTGGGGCATCCTTCACCCTTCAAAGTACAGGACCTTTCCCCTGTTCGCAAGAATCCGTATGTGGGGCAGCTCACTAAATTAGGGTCCCCTTTTTTAGGTCCCCAATATGGTACGGGACCCTAAAAAAGGTAGCCTGAAAGGGACCCAACTAGTTTGGAGGACTTCCCATATGGTATATAAACCCTAAACCCAAAGAACCTACCTTTTTTGGGGGCGTTCCTTACTATAGTTTCTTTATACAAGTCCTTAAAAAGGTAGGTTCTTTGGGGTAAAGGTAAACCTGAAACCCTAAACCCTTAAGCCCTTTGAGGGTTCATTCCGTCCCTGGGGGTGACAGCTCTCAAGTTCTTTCTTTGGACGGGGCGGGGGGGGGGGATGCTGTCATTATAATACAGGGGATCCTATACTTCCGTGTTTCTGGTGGTTTTCCGAAAACAGGGGACCTCAATATAGTACCCCAAATAGTAGGACCCCCATTATATAAGGACCCCAAAATAAGGTACCCCTTATTTGCGGAAACTCCCATATGCTGGGTCACTGAATTGTTCCCAAGGTATTAAACGAACCCAACACGCAATCGTAAAACCCCAAGCGGGTCTCGGTGGCGACGACTGCCTCAGCCAAATTTCAGTGCTACAATGTCAATGTCCCAACTCCAGGGCGCAGGGATGGAACGAGCATGGAACGGTTTAGCAATTTAGGGTTTAGGGTCTAGGGCGGTTTAGGGTTTAGGGTTTAGGGGGAACTCTAATTGAACCCAATCAAACCTGCATTGCTGATTGCTATGATTTATGATGTATGTCCTACAGAGGTAGGTCGGGGAGTTAGGGTAAGCCTGAAGCCGAAAACTCAAACACTACACCCTAATCCGTACACGACATCCAGACCGTAAGCCCTCAAAGAGAATGCTCGCCATGCGAAACCCTGCAACTCCAGCACAAACGTTCGAAGGCTTAGCGTGAGATATTGAAACAACTGACGTGTAGTATAGTTTGGGATTGTTCTATCCTCTTGTATTATATTATGCCCCGACGCCGCATTCGAATGATTACATCTATCTGTTCCATTAGTCTCCTCAGTGCACTGATCGTTGCAGCAAGCAAAGCAGAAAATCCTGAAACAGCGCTGCAAAAACAAGGGCTTATTGTAGTGCTTAGTACTCCGGGTTTAGAGTTAAGAGCAAGGGCGATGCTGGCCGCCTTGCGCCTCTTCCGGCGCCACTTTGGCGAGCTTCTGGGCACTACGTTATCCTAGATTCTAAACCCTACATCCTGTAACAAGCCTTACATGACCCCGAACCTTGCCACACTCCTAGGTAGTAGTAGGGAGAGACCCCTCAAACCGGACCCTTCTTAACCCTACTTATGGCTCTCTTAGTATGAATGCCTAAATGGTAGATTAGCCGACCTTTGAAGCTTCATTACCCTCAACCCTAACCCTGAACCATAAACCCTTTGAGGGTCCTTTTCGTCCCTTGGGAATGGCGGGGATTGGGGTAGGGATTAAGAGTCTCGTTGCTTGGGTGACACTCGGAACACCAGAACTCTAAGGGTACTATAGAAGCCTAACTTGTTACCGTACTATAATCTAAAGCCGTTTTCAGGCCCCTGCATTGCGGAGCTTAGGGTTGAGGGCTGACCCCAACACCCTGCAACCCCCAGCCCAAATGGAAGTGTCAATGATTCGCAGTATTGTTCTTGCTTGTCAGCTGGGAGCTCATTTCTCTTCTAACGACTTCAGGGCTTGCGCCTTGCGGCAACTTCTTATTCTGTACGGAAACCTGTCGTAACATCCCTAGATCGCTTCCTCTAGCATCCCCTTTTGGTAGCCTTTTATGCTCGCCCGAGCTAACCTGAGCCCTTCATCTCGAACTTCCTAGCAAACGAGCCTCAGTACACGGAAAACGCCAAAACCCCACTACAAGGGTCTGAACAGTGAGTACTATGTTTTTGCTGGAGGTTACCTTATACTATCTCTACAAAATGCAAAAACCTACTTTACCTGTCTCCTATACCACAGCCTTAAATCCATCAGCACCGCGGCGCGACCCCCGAAAGATTAAATGAACCCCAACAATCTCATTGCGCTAAACCCTAAACCCTTTCAGAATCCAAACTTCGAGCTTTTGGAGTCCCGAGGTAGTTGAAGGTTCAAGCGTCACATACCCCAAAACCCTAAACCCTAAACCTTAAACAGAAAGCCCATGAGTCCCGCACCCCTAAACCCTAGACCCTAAACCCTGAACCCTAAGCCCTGAACCCGAAACCCTAAACCCGAAACAAAAACATAAGCCATAAACCATAAACCCGAAACAAAATCCTAAACCATAAACCAGGAACCCTAAACTAAACCCTAAACCATGAACCCTAAACTGAACCCTAAACCATAAAGGCTTCCCCCTGTGCCTGCACCTCCGCCAATTCTGCTGCAGCTGGGCTGCACTAGCTGAGGATTCAGGGTCAGTTTAGGGTTTAGGGTTTAGGGTTTAGGCTTTGTTTGGGGTTTCGGGTCTTTGGTTTAGGATTTACCTGTCTGTGACCCCAAACCCTACAAAATAGTAGGTTATGACCCCTTAATTAGAGGGTAGAACCCATCAAACGGTACGTATTTGGATCCCCAGGTAGAGTCTAGGGCTTCTGGTCTGGCTTCTGTAGGGAGGAAATGAGCTACTTGTCGCCTTCGCGGTTGTCGTAACCCTAAGCGGCAGCATCCTTGTTGCAAGTACCCGGCAAAAAGGGACCAACCCCAGACCCCAACTTTTCTGGAAGGCATTGCGGCGCTGATAGAGAACCTAGTGGTGCCGCTGTTGGTGGTGGTGGTGGTGGTGGTGGCGGTGGTGGGGGGCGGCCGTGGTGGTGGTTGGGGGCGGCCGTGGTGGTGGTGCGACGATAAGAGGCCGATGATGGGGTTGGTGTTGGTTCTCTGCGAACATCGTGCAGTTCTGGAAGCATCTCTGCCCCACTGCAACGACAATGCGAACAACATTCCTGGATCTAGATAGAGCATATCAACCCAAGCATCATCGAACCCCCATAGCCCGAAGCCTCAAAACATCATGTGTCCTGTTAATCATCAAACCCTAACCCCAGAAACCAAATTTTGACCAAGACAGCCGAGGCCCTTCATGCGGCGGGCGATGGAACAGCGCGGGGACATCCCGGCCGGGGAAAGCTTTCCCCGCCGCCGGCGTAAACGACGGCGTCGGCCGCAACCGCAGTTGCCGGAGCCTTCCCTTAACTACAAAGCCTGGATCTGAGGTTTTGTATTGTTCAGTTTAGGGTGTAGTGTAGAAGGAGCCTTCAATCCTAAACAGCATGCTCCTGGCTTAGTTAAAGCACTCCGATGCTGTACACTTAGCGCTTGCAAACCCACCAGACAAGTGAATTGTAAACTCCCAAAACTAGCTTACAAGATCCCGATCTCTACACCGTGAGCTACCCCTAAACCTTAAGCCGAAGCACCAAGACCCCAACCTCTAAACCCTAAGCCCTCAACCTAAACCCCTGCCTCCAAACTCCTAAACCCCCCCAAGCCCTTATAGCCCTAAACCCTCGGCCCCACACCCCACAAGCCCTGAAGCCGTAAACCTCATAAGCCCCGAACCCTTAAAGCCTGCAAGCCCTAGCCCTAATCCAGACGGCCCTCAGGCCCCAAACCCCAAGACCTAAACTCTACGGTTTAGGGTTTAGGGTTTAGGGTTTAGGGTTTAGGAGTCCTACAAGCCCAAAAGCCAAAAGCTCCAAGCGGCAGCCCAAAACCCCAACAGCCACCCGAAAACCTAAACCCCCACCCCAAAAATTGCTGCACCCTAAACCCTAAACTGTACAGCAACCTTATAAAAGCCTATCAGCCTTAAACTCTAAATTCTAAACCCTATAATGCCCAAACCCTAAACCATAAACCATAAACCCAAAACCCAACAGCCCAAAAGCCCAAGAAGCTAACTGAGGAGGAGCCTCGATTCTCTCCGGAGCAGCCGCACTTCATGCAGGCCTTGGGAGTGCTTGGAAATACTTGGGGGGGTTTGGGGTTTAAGGTCTAGTTAGTTCAGTTCGGCTTTAGGATTTTGAGTTTTGATGTTAAGGTTTAGTTAGTTCAGTCAGGGTTTAGGCTTTTGAGTTTAGGGCATAGGGTTTAGTTAGTTTGGATCGGGCCAGGGTGAGGAGTGATTGGAAATACATCTTTAGTTTTGCTGACTATTATCCCTAAGATGCCTCACTGCATGCAAATGGAGATCGGAGGGGGGGTGGGTTCAGTTAGGGAGTTTAGGGATTAGGAGTCAGGGAGTGTAGGCTTGTGAGGTTAGGTTTAGGGCTTAAAGGTTCCTTTAAAGGAACCTAAGGGTTTAGGGTTTAGGGTTTGGGGTTCCTTTAAAGGAACTAAAAGGGCTCCTATAAAGGATCTATGAGGGGTACTGTAGGGGTTAGGGGGTTTAGGGTTTTAGGGAGCTTAGGGGAGGAGCAGGTGGAGTCGGTGGGGTTTAGCGTAGGTCTAGGTACGCTTTAGCATTTTCTGGAGGTTTATAATCCTTATATGGGAGTGTCCGAAAATTAGGGTACCTTATTTGGGGGTCCTTATAATAAGGATCCTATTATTTAGGGTACTATATTAGGGTCCCCTATTTTCGGAAACTCCCATATCCCGAAACCCTAAACCCTAAACCCTAAACCCTCGCAGAGGTCAACCTTCAGTTTCGCTAGGATACTGGGCAAGTCGGTTCGGGTTTGGGGCTGCTGGGGTTTAGGGTTTGGACTCCACCCTAAACCCTACCTGCGGATCCAAAAACCTACCGTTTTATGGGTTCTACCCGCTAATTAAGGGGTCATAACCTACTATTGTGTAGGGTTTGGGGTCGCAGGTAAACCCTAAACCCTAACAATTAAATAGGTATCAACGGCATGGGCATGTTTAGGACATCTTCAGACTCGAAAGGGTTGTGCAATTTAGAATTTAGGGTTTAGGGTTTTTAGAGTGTTGACTCGTGTTGACGAAATGGGGCGTTTGTTGGTTTTGCACTGGAAGCTCGTAGGGTTACACACGGATCTGTTTGGATTTCTTGAGGATGCATCGGAACTCGCTTGGAGAGGCGTTTGAAGAACATGAAAAACTGAAAACAACTACTCTGCTGGATCGCTTTGGGTGGTGCAGAAGACGGGAGCGCTTCAAGAAGAAGAGGGCATAGCTGCTATTTGTCGATGCCTTCAGCTCAAAAGCTGGAGGGACTCTAACCAAGAGAGCTGTCGGGTCTTTGCAGCGACTAGTGGCCCAGCTTTACAGGCAAGATGTTGACTCACGTTGCAGGATGACGGGGCGGATCTTTACTTACCCTGTCAACTTTGAGAGACGAGGGCTGCGGAGAATCTGCACCTTCGCATATCTTGGAGAGTCTACATTTCCTGCATTTCCGTGGCACGCTTCACGTGCATACACCTTGAGACCGTCATCTCTTCACGCTGCAAGGGCATTGCTGAGTGTTGCTTGAGCCAGAAGGTTTCGGGGTGTCGGTTGAAATCCCGCGATGGAACATCCTGTACAGAGCATCTTGTACAGCGAAGGAAGTCTCACGTAGCGGATGGTTACCAGAGCAACCTAAACTAGGGATTAGAACGTCCTGAAGCGAGCACATAAGCTCGAAAACCCGAACACCCTTGCAGAAACCCTCATAAACCCTTGAAGCAGCTTTCGGGGATGAGGAACAAGCCCTAAATCTCAAACCTACAGTCCCAAACTTGCGCTTCTTTGCAGGTCTATGTGGTCCTGGGCGTCTTGATGGGCCTTTCGGCTTACATATCGCCCTGAACCCTGAGCCCTCGACCCAAAAACCCAAAACCCTCAGACCTCTAACTTGCCAAGCCCTAAACCCTAAAAATTCTAAAAGCCCTAAGCCCCAAAAGCCCGAAACCCTACAACCCCTATAGACCCTAAACCCTGAAAGTTGCATTCCCTATAAAGTCTGCTCGAACTTGAGGGCCCGCAGCACCCACAAGTCAACAGCAGTTTAGGGTTTAGGGTTCGGGGTTTAGGGGTTTAGGTTTTCGGGATCAGGGTTTAGGTTTTCGGGTTTAGGGTTTAGGGTTTAGGGTATGGGGTTTAGGGTTTAGCATGCCCAAACCCATCCAAATCACACGCCGTTGTGCACACCCTGAATCGTTGAGCCCCAAGGCCAGAAAAGGGTCAGAGCCTGACGCCTCATCTGTTAATTAATGATCAAGCCCTCTCTAGAAGTGGTTATGTAAGGGTGAAGGTTAAGAGTTCCTTGGTCCCCCAGTCGCACCAATGGCATACTGGGAAACCTAACTAGAAGAACTAACCTACAGAAGAAAGCAACGACCGAGCCCAAAACCTTAAAGACCCTAAGCCGTGAACAAAAGCAATAATCCAAAGCGCTGCATCCAATAACACTAAACCCGAAAGAGAAAGGTACAAGAAACCCAAATCCAAGCCCTAATTCCTTAACCCTAAACCCTAGCTGTTCCAAAGGCCTGGAGTGGGCCATCCGCGCCGACTGCCATTTCCGCGCACCCATCGCAGCGGAATGCCTCGGCCCTTTGCCCTTGAAACCTACTTAACCCTAAGGGGCCATGTACCCAAATAGTATATACATTGGCCCTAAAGTACCTATATAGGGACTACATTAAGGCCAGAGTATATACTATTTGGGCACATGGACCCTTAGGGTAAGGGTAAAGGGCTTTAGTTTCGGTTCCAACCTCAGTTCTAACACATCGTGAGCCTTCCGGGGGGTTCCTCTAAGGGCTCTATAGGGGTTCCTACATGGTTTTCGGATTTGGGTTTGGGGTTTACAAAAAGGGCTTTAGGGCTTCGGGTCTGCCTAGACCCTGAACTGTGGTACGTGTGTTCGGGTGATTTTGTTGCTAGGATCCCTGGTTAAGAGACACGAAAGTACGCAGAAAAGCTTCTAGATTTCAGGGCCGAAACCCTAAACCCTAAACCCTAAACCCTAAACCCTAAACCCTAAACCCTAAAGCTGAGGTATTACATGTCTGGGGTACTACAAGGCTTCAGCTTCAGAGTTTAGGGTTCCGATGTTTTTTTAGAGTCTTCGGATTCAAGAGTTTTAGAGGGCTGTGGCGGCCGGTGGGGGTTGTTATTCATCACGGACCCACGCCCGAAAATCCACTTCCTTTGGGGTGCGTCGTTTAGGGTTCTGTGATCGAGGTTTCATACTGCCAGCATGTACCAAGGCCTTGCGAAAGCCCAAACGCGCACCCTGCCACACGACCCCTACACCCCCGAACCTAAATCTAATAGCGGCTCAGAGAGCCATATTATGTGGCTCCCGTTGCCCTTAGTCTTCAGCCCTGTTCCGCCCTACACCCCACACATGCAACTGAACCCTAAATCCTAAACCCTAAACCCCTAAACTCCTAAACCCTAAACCCTAAACCTTAAGCCCAGCGGTTGTGCAGGTTTGGGTTTCTATCCAATTTGCCTGCTGCTGGCTGGGCAGCTTCTCGGTAAAAACAGGTCAAGCTGTTGCATGGTTTCATAAGTGCGGGGGGCGGGGGTTTAGGGTGCTATTGCATGGTTTCACAAGTGTGGGTGGGATTCTTGGATGTAAGTAGATTGTGTTGGTTAGGTTCCATGCTAATTAGGGAAGCTCCCATTGATGCGAAAATGGGTTGCATGTGTTGTCCACGCAATGGTTTTTGTGCCTGTGAAAACTGTGCAGCCAATAGCCATGCCGCAGCTCACTGCACGAAGTGAGCTCGCAAGGAAGCAGCCTTAAGTCTACACTAAATCCCACACCCTAACCTGCTAAGCCCTATAAACCCTAAACACTGAACCCTAAGCCCTAAACCCAGACCTGCTACACCTTCAGAACTCCATCCATGAATCGGAGCCACCAACCATGATCGCAACTCTGTCCCCAAGCCCTAAAGCCTCAATTTCAACTCTTTGCTGACAAGACCAGGGAGTTCCTAGACGCCCTAAGGCTCCATGTACGTACGCAGCATAAAATAGACTTTGGCCTTAGGGAAAGCTCGCCCAAACAATTACGGAGGTTCGCTGTTTTGTCCAGCTGCAGAAGCCTCAGTGCGGATTCCTTCGCAGTTCCATAATATCAATACGGGCGCGGCAGCTGTGACTTTAAAGCCAAAGCATTACGTTCGTACCAAAAAGTGGGTAGTTGTCATAACTAGTGTCCTTTACCCTTAGTGCGGCACCCTATAGTTTCAGACCCAAACTGGGGCCCTAGGTTTGACAATCGCCCAAGCTGAGGAAAGCTGCGGCGCGACCACCCTGAACCTGACCCCTAAACCCCTGTTTAGGGTTTAGGGTTTAGGGTTTAGGGTCTACCTACACCCTAAACCCTAAACTCCAAATCCTGAACACTTAGCCGTAGACCTTCACACACAGGTTCTGCGAGGGCAACTGGAAGGACCGAGCAAAGGTCCAGGATATAGCTTTCAGAATTTGGGGGTTAGGGTGAATATGGGTTTAGGGTTTAGGGTTCCTCTACAGCGCCATATCCTAGGTAGTATCAGGAAGACCCCTTAAAGGAGACCCTTCTGAACCCTACTTATTGGCTCTCTCAAAGGGCACCTTATTCAGAGGGTCTATATCCCCAAACAATCCCCCTAATCCTAACTCCTACAATAAGGGATCTATAAAGTGTTTAGGATGTCAAGTTTATGTTTTTAGGTCTTCGGGGCAGCTTCAGGCTTGCAGTTTTCGTGGTTAGGGTTTAGTTAGGCGGCGTCGGAGAAATCCAGGGGTTTAGGGTCTGAGGGTTTAGGGTTAGTTAGGGCGTGAGGGTCTGGGGTTTGGGGATGAATGGTCTTTCTTGAAGCTGCTGCCACGGGGTTTAGGTGGTGTTCGGGCCTACAGAGGCGTAGACCGGCTGATGTCTGTATCAAAGACGTTGGGGGATACATAGTGAGATGCCTAATAAGACCCAGAGGTTTATTAAGCAGCTTCCTACGTGAGTTAAACCAGCAGCTCCAATAGCTTCAACTCTAATCGACCCTATCATGGCAGCATAGACCCAAAACAGTGCAAGAATACCTGGCAGTCGAAGCCCGGCACACCCAAGCTAGGTTCCCCAGCAGTACCCTTTGGCCCTTTTCTTGTTGAGCTCCCTTAAGAAAGCCAAATAGTAAGAAAAAGGGTACCCTTGTCATTAAGGGTCTCCTGGGGAGCCTAGCAAGACCCTAAACCCTAAACCCTAAACCCTAAACCCTAAACCAAGACACCCTCAAAGGACCAGCGTCTCACCTCCGCGATGTGCTTGGCCGCCTTAGCCGGCTTGCTGTTGCACCTCGACCCCAACTGAGGGTTCCTTGAGAGTTTATAGGGTTTAGGGTTTAGGGTTTAGGGTTGAGGATTCAGGGTCAGGGTGCATCCTAGAACCTTATAACACATACACCCTAGGTTCTTTTGAGGTTTGTCGTTCTTTTGAGGTTTGTCGGTGGACTGAGCGCTTTTCTCAGGGTTTCGGGCTCCAGTGTTTGGCTTGGGGGCTCGCAGGTTGATTTTTTGACATGTGGGGCTGTGAAACCGGCGAAACCTCTGATCACCCTATCTGCAAATGCCTTCAAACAACTTAATATAGAAGCCTAATAATTACCAATATTACTGTTAAGGTTCCTTATTGTAAATATACTATAAACAAGGCACAAAGCCCTATTGTAATTATTAAGGCCCCTACAGTAGACAAAGTACGCGCAGCAGTGTTCTGAGGCTGCCGGGTGCCTGGCAGAAGCCGAAGAAAGAATGGGCCACGCGGCTCAGGGGATTTCAGGGACGGGTGTTGCTACCCTAAACCCGAAACCCCCTTCATGGACAGAGCGACCCAGCTTTGAGCCTCAAAGCCCCAAACGCTGAACAACGGCGCTTATGAGCTGGGAAAGGGTTCAGGGTTTAGGGTTTAGGGTTTAAGGTTTATAAGGACAGCTTGCATCCGGGGCGAAGATGTTCAGGATTGATTGGTTTGGCATCTCGGAAAGTTCTCTGTAGATGCTGGCAGCACTCAGGACATCGCGATGGGTATGGTTTCTTGGCTGCACCGTCGCCCCCCCCCCCCACACTCTACATTATACAGAGTCCCTTGGCCTGAACCAGACTACCCAGAATGTACCTAAACCCTAGACCCTATTCTCTAAACTCTGAACCCTAAACCCTAAACCCTACCCTAAACCCTAAACTCCTTTGAAGGCTCTATAGCGCTTAGCCCCCAAACCCCGTTTGTGCAAGACGTGGCCGCCTGTCGGGGTTCACGGTCGAGCTTGCTTTTCTTAGAGAGTCTCTTGAGCTAAGGGTTTAGGGTTTAGGGTGTAGGGTTTGAGTCTCTTGAGCTAAGGGTTTAGGGCTTAGGGTTCGGGCCTCGTAGGGTTTAGGTTATTGGTCCGTGGTTTGCAGCTTGTCGTTGCATGTCGCTGCTGCAGCAGACAGACTGGCCAGACCCTTTAGACCCATGCCCTGAAAGCCTGAACCGGATAAAACCTTGGAAGCATGACCCCAATATCAGACGCGAGCTTTCGCCATTAATTCCGAACATCCTAGCTGAGTCTGAAGTTGTATATCCTAAACACGTAAAAACCGTAAAACCCTTAAACCCTAAACCCTAAACCCTATAGGCCCCCAACACTCTAAGTGCTAAACTATGGAGATAAAGCCCTACACCAGGCATCGCAAAACACGCAAACACTAGTCCCCGCTTTAGGGCACAGGGTTTAGGGCGTAGGGTTTCGCCACGCAACGGGGATATTTACCCAAACCACAATAATATTGCCTACTATAGAAACCCCTACTTTCTACTATATAATTAGGCACTTTGTGGGCCAAGACTGTTAAAACATGCTCCTACACTCAAGGAACCCTAAACCCTATAAGCCCTAAACTCCCTGCACACAAGGGTGTTGCATCCCTTTTTGACGGCCTGCGCTGGGGCTTGACAAACAATGTGCTGGCTCCGAGCGATGCCTGGACGACTTTAGTAAATCTTGCATGTGGGTAGTTGGCTAAATTAGGGTTACTTTGGGGTCCTGTTTACAAGGGTGCCGTACTATAGTGTGGACCTAAACAGGGACCCTAATTGAGAGAACTACCCATGAGCTGGCTTTCCAAATCTTATTTTCGATTAAGTCTCGACCGCGAGTTTCATCCTGGACCCTCACACCCTCGAGCACCTCAGCCCGAAACCCTAAACCCCTAAACCCTAAACCCCCAAACCTTAAATCCTAAACCCTAGACCGAAATCCAAACGAACCCCCAAACCCGCAACTGAAGTCCGAGGAGTATTTGCCCTCGGAGCGATTCAGCGCTGCGGTCGTCCTGTCAGCGAACATGGCCACCACTGCTGCGCTGTGCCTCATGGAGCTGAGATCCTTGGCTGGCTGCTCTCAAACCCAAAGGCTCCATGTACCTTTATAGTAGATACTTAGGCCTTAAAGGGGTCCCCATGTAGGTACTTTAAGGCCTAAGTATCTACTATAAAGGTACATGGAGCCTTTGGGAAAGCGGCATAGGAGATAATATCATGGACTATAGTACATAAACTACACTATAGTGTAAATGCCTAAACCCCAAAGGGTTTGGGATTTAGGATTTAGGGGTATGATGTTCAGTACTACCTCGACCTACCAGTAGTAGTAGTTGAGCAGTGCGTAGTGGCATCATGACCACTGGTCGCTATTCGCACCACCCCCGCCCCTTCACCCCCTGCTCCCCCTTACCTCCTCCTCCTCCTACCACTAGGATCCTAAACCCGAAACTCTGAACTCTGTGCTGCTGTTGCTGGTAGAATTGCTACTGTTTTTCCCGAAAACAATACTAAGAATAATAGTAATTACTGCTACTGCTAGTGCTGCTGCTACTGCTACTGCTGCTGCTGCTTCTTCTTCTACAACTACGATGACTACTGCTACTGGCGTCTGGCATTATGAGTACCCCGTCACTCCGCAGCCGCCAGGCATCGTCTTCAACTTGACAGGCCCCGTGCTCAGTTTGTTTTGAGTACGGTTCAGACCTTCGGGTTTAGGGTTTAGCCCTTTGCAGAGCGTTTTCTTGGTGCCAGTGGGGCACCCCATGAAACCGAAGCCCACAACCCCACCCTTCATAAGTTTAGGGTTTAGGGTTTAGGGTTTAGGGTTTAGGGTTTAGGGTATTTTCCATTGCTTGAGGTTTTGCGTATGTCGTTGACATCACAGATCCTCTCACCCTGGTGGTCGAGCTGTCCTGCCTGGGCATCGCACAAGCGGTGGCGTCGGCAGCACTGGACTCTTGCACAGGGGTTTCATGTTTCAGACTTGCGCCAAACACCTTTCATAAGGGGCCTCTAAAACCCTAAACCCTGAACCCTTCTAACAGCCAGTATCAGAAACTTACAAAACCTATATGAAGCCCTACAAGGCCCCTTCTTATAGAGCCTTATATGTCCTGTACAGTTGCTAAATCGCTAAAGACCCCCGTGCATCCTATAAAAAAACCCTAGCAGAAGGATTCTGGAGAAGCCCGCTCGAATCGGGCTCACTAAACCCTATAACACAAGGTTTAGGGTTCAGGGTCTAGGGTTCAGGGTTTAGGGTTAGGGGTCCCTAAACCCTCAGAGGCGCGACTTGTGGCTTACCTGAACTTGGCCCGCGCTGGGTCCATCGCCGTCATTGCCGCTCGGTGGACCTCTCCCGAAGAACCCTAAACCCCTAAACCGAAAACCCCTCAACCCCCAAACCCTAAACCCTAAACCCCTAAACCCCTAAACCCCGAGACCCTAAACCCCAAAATCCCTAAACCCTAAACCCCTAAACCCTCAACCCTAAACCCTAAACTTGACCTTAAACCTTCCAGCCTAGGTTCCCAAGTAGTGCCCTTTTGCCATTTTTGTCTCTGTGGGCTTCCGTTATGAAGACCTCAATAGTAGGAACAAGGGTGCCCTTGTTGGGGCCACTGAAACCTAAACCCTAAACCCTAAATCGTAAACCCCAAACCCTAGCACCTGAACCCTAAATCCTAAACCCTAAACCCTAAACCCTAAACCCTAGCACCTGAACCCTAAATCCTATTTAGGGGCTACAGGGGAACCCGGCAGTCTCAAGCCCGGCAGAAAGGCCTCGTTGCCGATCCGGGCTTACCAGTAATTGCGCCCTACAGGCTTTAAAGTTAAGAGTTTAGGGTTTAAGGGTTTAATGTATAGGGTTTAGGCGTTAGAGTTGACGGCTTAAGGGTTTAGGGTTTAAGGGTTCAGGGTGTAGGGTTGGGGGTTTAGGGTTTGGGCTTCGTCGGCAACTGACCAGGTAAACTTCCGTTCCTACCCTTCACCTTCTAATCAGTGAAATGCTAATTCTTTCTGTTGAAGGGAGCCAGGGAACTGTCAACCCTAGATTAAAAACGGTAAGATCCCCCAATAAGCCTTATATAACCCATACCCCAAACCCTAAACCCTAAACCCTAACTCCAGCAGAAACCTTTCAGGACCCCATCTAACTCGATAGCGGAATTTGCGACTCAGGGCCTTGTGCCGCTGATACCTGCCACGCTCTCTGTGCTGGCTGAGCTGCCTGGCAAGAAGCGAAAGTTTAGGGTTTAGGGTTTAGGGTTTAGGCATAGGTGGACAGATTCTTAACCACGCTGCTGGTATATTGGCATTTGAAGTTTATATTATACGGTTATACTGAGCACCCACTAGTCACCATTTACTAGCCCGGGCTTCAAGAGACGAAGGGTGCTAAGCGTCGTAGAAGACGAATTCTGGCGATCCCGCCATTGGACCATACATACCTGCCAGCAGTAGAGACCCTTTGCTCGTATTCAAGGCTACAAGGCCGGTCCTGGTAAGCATGTATGGTAGGGTTTAGGGTTTAGGGTTTAGGGTTTTCTGTGGCGATCCTTTATATAGGTACTTCATGCACGCTTGACCTTAAAATGTAGGCTGAGGAGAGCTGCCCGGGACGTTGATAAACCCTGAAGCCTAATGCAGAGTAGATGCTGCAGTGAACCGTACGAAGTATGCATAACCCTGCCTTGAACCACCAAAACCATCACGTCTATATCAGGATTTGTAACACGAACCTACAGAAAAGTGGGTTTAGGGTTTAGGGGGTAGTCTGAGGTAGCCCTAGGCTCCCGAATGCAACCAGGCACCGAGCCCTACCTGCAACTACTGGAACAGGAAACCGATGTTGTTGAGGGTTTAGGGTTTAGGGTTTTCAAGCCCCGAAACTTGAAACCGGGCACCCTGATCCTTAAACTCTTAAGTACTCAAGAAACAAATTCCAAACCCTCAAAACACAACCTTAAACCCTAAAGCCGAGACCCGAATAAGCCTTAACCCCTCCGAGCCTTCCCAACTGGATTTCCTGAGCGCAGTGGATTGCTGCAGACGGAAAAGTGCCGCTCAACAATAAACTTAAAACCCCGAAACCCACTAAAAAACCCAGATCTCGAACTTGAATGTAGCCCTAAACCCTATACCCTAAACAGCAACGACCGGTATCCAAGCTTGGAGACCCCTCGACTCTGAACCCAGAGCCCCTCATCCATCATGATCCCCAACCGCTTGAAGCCTTAGCCCTCACATGTTCATATGACATGCGATAGGGATCTATAACTTGCAACACCATACTAAACTAGACTGTAATATACGGTAATAAACTCTTACTCTTTCGTCTCGTGCAAGCTTTGAGCCCCAGACTGTAATACCATCATCTGCGTCAAGTCAGGTGTATCTACCCTCCCGCCGGGGAGCCGGCACCTACATGGATTCTGCGCTGCACAGTAATGGTAAACCCTAAACCCTAAACCCTAAACCCCGAACGCTAAACGCCGAACCCTAAACCCAAGATAAATAAGTCCCGATCCAACAGTCTGACCCCGAAGCCCTGCCCTTTAGCGAGGTGGAGGGATCGCAATTAAGATGGAGGGTAGCATGTGTTCAGTACCACCAAACCCCAAATTCTAAAGCCAAGCTCACGGTTACAAATCCCCAAGTTCCAATATAAAGGTACCAGTAATTAAGGACTACCTCTGAGTATGCTGTTGCAGCTGTAAATATACAATTATAGTGTTTACCCCCCCCCCCCCCAGAGCTGTTCTGATTATTGGGCTCCTAGCTGAAAACACAAGACCTGGGCCTCAATGTCAATGTGAAGAGTACCAACGTTTCTTTCCTATACAGTTATCAACTGACCAACTGACTGACTCAGCTTGTCATGACTTCATTGTAGTCAGCCACAGTAAAAAAAAAACTGTTTACCGCGTCTTGCAATGGTGTATCCCAAGCTGAAAAATCTTACACCCCCACACCCCACCTCAGCATCCAAGGATCAACTTCACAGCAGCCCTTCTGGCGCTTTTTTCAATGCGTCCTGGCTGCAACGGATTTGGGTCTTTTCAATCTTGAGCTGTCTTTAGTAGCGCCCATATAGAACACCAGCAAAATGTCAGACCCTAGTAGCATGTTATAAGTTTCCTAGAACCTAAACCGCAACTTCAAACCGTATAAAGGGGAAGCCCTCAAGCCTAATGTAGGGGCCTAAATAATTACCTATAGTATTTTGGGGGCTCCTTATTATGATCATACTATGAAGGGTCCCAAAACCCATTCTACTCATAAAGGTCCCTATGTTACTTCGGAAGCTCCTAAGACCTAAACCTGAACTCTAAACCAACAGCCCGACATGGGGGTTTCCAAAAATAGGGGACCCTAATATAGTACCCTAAATAGTAGGATCCCTATTAAAAGGACCCCAAAATAAGGTACCCCCAATTTTCGGAAACTCCCGACATTTCAATACTCAGGAACCCTGAACTTCAGGGTTTAGGCTTTAGGCTTTAGGGTTTACCTCAGTCTTATCCGGGTTTAGGGTTTAGGGTTTTGGGTTTGGGGTTTTGGGTTTTGGGTTTAGGGTTTAGGGTTTAGGCTTTAGGCTTTAGGGTTTACCTCAGTCTTATCGTCCTGAAGCTTTACAATCGGAAGCCCTGCAATACGAAGTGCAGATTTCGGCAGTGCTTGGACCCGGTTTAGGGAAAAGAAACTCATGGCTGTCCCCTAGACCCTAAAACCTACACCCTTCAGAAGGCGTCCATTGTACGGATCCTCAAACCTCAACCCAAGACCCGAAATCCTAAGTAACCCCCTCCCCAAAAAAAAGAGAACAACAACGTATGGAGCTTAAACTAAAGGAGTCTTTGAAAGTCCATAAAACCCCAAGATCCTTGCCCTAAGGCTACGGTTTTAGAGTTAAGCCTTAGGGTTAAGGGTCCAACTACCTGATAATCAGACGCTCTCCCAAATACTAACCTACAAAGCTACTATCCGTAACCCATGTACCTGATAGGTAGGTCCTTTGGACCCGTGGGGTTGTGGAGCTTAAACCTAAACCCTAAAGCCCTAAAGCCCTAAACCCTCAACCGAACTTAAAAACCCAATCCTTGAAGAGCCCAAAAGGTTGCAAAACCCAGTGGCGAAGCTCCGCAGGTCTTTCCTCATCAGCCCTGCCAACCGGCTTAGGGTTTCGGGTTTAGGGTATCGGGTTTAGGGTTCAAGGTTTAGGCTTTAGGGTTCAAGTTTAGGGTTTGGGGTTCAGGATATCGGGTTTAGGGTTCAGGTTTAGGGTTTAGTATTTAGGGTCAACCACCACATGTACGCCAAACCCTCGCGCGAAGCTATCCAACACTCGAAACAACAAGGGGAGTAGAATATATATATATATATATAGGATAGGGGCTCAGAACATCGACCAACAGCGGGTCGAATTGCTGAGGGCCCCCAGTGCTGTCTTCGAGACGGCACGGTCGCCCGCGTTTCACCGTCGGGCTCGCAGGAAGCGCCATAAGGCTCGCCATCGGCTGCACTTGGCGCGACGCGTCTCCCAGCTTCCGGCTAGGAGAGACCTGTCCCTCTTGGAGGGTCACCACTCGGCACCGGCTTACAGGGAAAGCCGTTTTGCCGGGCTTGCACGTCGCAAGCCTCAGTTGTTGATGGGCCGAGGTGGCAAGCAGCAGCCGCCATGGAAGGACGGCTATGGCTCCTCGCAGTTTTGGCAGGGCTCCTACAAGGTCTGGGAATCACCCAGGTCACGGGCCAAGGCCAAGGCGAAGGCGAAACAGGGAGCCCGGAGCTTCCCGGCCTACGATACGGACCGGAAGCCAGAGGCCAGGTCAGAGGATACGGAGGATCG